AAAGCTAATGTAAGCTACTGTATATTAGCTCAATAACCTCAAAGGGAATTGATCCATTTGTTGGAGCTTCACATAAGAATGAAATATTTGCAATCTGCATTCTGCATGGAGGAGGTTGTTACTTCTTAGCCCTTCTTAGCCCTAAAAAGACTAAAAGACCTCCTGCAGATAAGAAGAGCAACATTGTGTCATTTTTGATGTTATAAATCCTGGTGCTGGTAAATGTCATCATCTGTCAATAATACATCATCTCGTTATGGATTAAATTACACATAACACAGCCTTACAAAAGCACAAGGATGAAAGTAACATTTCAGGGGGGTTATCTTTATTAAGCCATCAGTCAATAGCAGCTAATGGAAAAACCTGAAGATCTAGCACCCAATCACTCAAGGATTTTTTTAATAAAATATTTTACCTAAAAGGCAATTTAAAACAGCGCTAACTAGATTCTGTCATTTTATTTTTGATTGCCACTCATTGCGTCCCTTTATATTTCCATTACCGACTATAAAAAACAAAAATAAAATTTATATTTCCATTACCGACTATAAAAAGTACCAACATATTCCCAGATCTTGGCTAATAACACTTTGGAAAACACAGTAATTACCTTTTACAGTCAGTTCCAGATTGTTTCTGACCTTGTGGAATCTTATCTCATCTCATTAGGTCATAGACTGATAGACAACCTAAAGACACGTTTTGAAATATGATGGAACAATCTTTTGGAGATGGAGCTCCAAGGCTGTGGAACACATCATCGTCCTCTTTAGGCAGTTGACAATGTGGAATAATTAAAAAAAAACAACACCGCTCTTGATTATTGTAATTAAATCTAAATTTTATAGCAAATGCTAACAATGAAACAAAGCCATCTGCACAATCTTGAAACTTTTTGACTCACACTCTTTTCTTACAGTGGCTTATTATTTAAAATTTGTCACAGAAAAAAAAAATTGCACTGACATTCTTCAGTATTTATTAGCGCTCAACCTTAAAGGTCTGACTCTCGGTGTAAAGATTGGACCATCAATAAGTAAGCGAGCATAATTCAACACACATATTAGTCTTGCTGCCCCTTAAAGAGCGAAAATTTATTCCTGAAGTCCATATCTGTAAATTACAGGTTTATGAGCCTTTTTTATGGTAAAACATAATCAAACGGACGGATGCGGTCTGTACGTTAATAACCCAGAAGCCTGTGGACAGAATTCATAAATAATACTACTTAGACTCTTAACATATGCAGTTGCTAATTATGATGATTCATTTGCTATGATGAAGGCAGAAACAGTGCCAGCGCTGAGCCTGTGTCAGCTGTGATTGGTGATGGTCCAATATGTTGCCGTGGGAAATTCCCCCCAGGGATTGTTTTACAGGAATACTATATATACAAGTGTCACACAAGACAATGGGAGATCTATAAATAGCACAGAAAAAGCACACGGGTCATGGCTGGATACATGCCAGGAAAATCAACAAGGTGAGGATTACATGTGGTCCCGCATTTTCACACACGTTTGAGAGCGGTGTCTGCGATGATGTTGTCGCCGCAGAAACACTCCACGAGTTTATCGAAAGATTAATTCTCTGATTGCCTCAACTGAAACAATTACTTTCTCTGTCTTCTCCACTGTCTCTCGACTCAACTTTGCTCTGATGCCGTTTGCCAGGACGTGCCAACACGAGGCAAACTAAATGTCCTGTAGGGGATAATGAAGGTCCATTAAAGAGGCGTCACGAAATAAATCACATTCATCATTTCCTGCCTGTGGAGAGTCAGCAGAAAGAACAACCCCAGAGTGTTTTCATTGTGGCAGCACAAAGACAAAAAGGAATTAAATGGGAGTTCAAAGTTTTCAGGAAATTCACTTTCTTTAATAGAGAAACACAGCGGACTGGGATTGGTTCCTGCCGTGGATTTAGTTTTTGCTGGACTTTCTTTCATTCTGCTACATCTTTACATTTAATCCATCATATTGAGGGTTTTCAAGAGGTGGTTCACGGCCTTTTGGTGGTCCGTTAAGGCATCACAGGTGGTCCCAGCTATTGTAAATATATAGGTATAGTATTATATATAAATATATGTATGTATACAGGATATATTGTCCTGTACAGAGAACACAATACTTTAGTTGAAGTAACAATATTGATTTTACTCTTCTTGTTGTTTCATGTTACCTTTTAATACATCAAATCTAGGATCTTGAAAACATGGGCCACTGCCGCTTTGTGGTTCTTTAAGGCAATGCAGGCATTTCCCAGTTGACCACCTTTCTGGCGCCATAGATTGTGGGAGTTTTAGTGTTTGCTCAATATACCACAGTGCTGCCAGTAAAGAGAACACATCTTAGTCAGATTTTTAAACCATAAACTAAAATAGGTCAAACATTGCTGGCAGAAATAACCAGTGCTACTGAATGGTTCCGTTTATAGGTCAGTCTGAGGCTGAGAGAGAAACAGAATGAGAAATACTGTATTATTATAGGTTGAAGGCAGGGAACTGTTGAAGGAGTAAAGAAAGGCTGAGGCTGTAACTGAAATTAAAATTAATTCACCTAATCCACCTTCACACCAACAGGCAGAAATAACGTTCCTGTAATTCAATTAAAGGTGCAGTTTTAATCAGCGGCGCCTGCTGACCACACGGTGGTACTGTTCTTAGAGAAAACCACTGATTGGCTGGTTCAAATCCAATTCACTCTGTATGGAGTCAACATGTTCTCCACAGTCCAAAAACATACAGCATACATTTGAACTGTTCACACGAGACTGACCACAGGTGTGAATGTGAGTCTGAATGGTTGTTTTCCCTGCAACCCTGAGAAGAATTACACTGTCAAAGGACAAACGAAGAAATTATTCTTTTTTTTGGTTTTAGTCATGACAGTAGATATTTTCTTTTTATAAACCTGTCTTTATCCGTTTATGTGCTTGTCAACATGTACTGAACAAAATATTGCAGTTTCATTTAATATTTCTTTCAGAGTTTTTGACTAAAATGTGACATTTGTGGTAAGAACATTTATAGTTACAGTCACAAATGATATTTTTAAAACCAATTTATCAACGTTGTCTGGTGGATTTTGATCTAGTGATTTCTGCTCTTGCCTTAAAGCAAGGTAACAGCAAAATCATCAACTGGCTGGTTCAATTTCAGGACTTTCTTTGTGTGTTTGTGTGTGTGTGTGTGTGCCCATTCTCCATGAATGAAAGATTTCTCATTTTCATAATGAAAATAATCTTTCACTCTCTACATGTTTTGCTCCATTTAAGTCCAACAGCAGTTGATCGTTTTCCTCCGTCTCCGTCTCTACTCCATGTCTTAGACTCTTACATTAACCATCTTCATCTGCTCCTCTAACCCAAGCATGACATGAACTCCAGGTATGTAGGCTCTTCTTGCTGTGACAGATGGACGGTGT